CCACAAGTCTCAACTGCAAATCTGTTCTACTACGTGAGATGGAAGCCACGCTGCATGCACTAACAAATTAACCCGCTGGAGATGGCAGCCTCATTGCTTCAACGTCACCCTGTAGGTGGAATGTTTTATCAAACTCAGTTGTCAATGGAACCTTGCCCAAGATCAGTTGTGTCGTCGAATGAGTGGAACAAGCAGGACGATTCGGCCGAGCACGGACATGGTTGGAGCGGATGCACGGAGTGGATGCACCGCTACTGGAGACACGATCTCCATACCACTTTGAGGTGTGCCAGCAGTGATCACTGAGCATCGTGAACTCAAAACAGGAATCTCGCTTTAACTTTCGTGTAAGACAGACTCTTCAGAGGCCAAGCCTCTTTGGTTGTCAGCCCCGCCAGTCTTAGAAGAGTCCGGTCATAAGATCAAGCGATTCAACGCTGCCCATTACTCCAGCTTGACAGGGTTCAATACAATATACCTGTTCGGCCGGCCCGAGGTGCCGCAAAATGCCATGTCTATCGGGAAAAAGAATGTCAATGAGGAATGGCATCTTGAGGCCTGGGGGTGTGACCTGGTTACCCACCTTTACTGGCAGTGTCGCTAACCCTAGATCCAATGCCCTAGTGCCAAGGATTATCAATAGTGTCTAAAGTCCTGCCCTTTACCATAAGCAGCCTGGCTGATCATCGGTGAAATCTCACTGCGGATCCTAACTGGGGTTTTCAATCAGGACTGGCCTTGACGCAGCGTATGGGCACCTGCGAGACACGCAGTCTGTCCAGCTCTGAGCTGAAAATCTCTTTAGTAGTTGCATTTCTGTCAGGGCACCTACTCCACCAAGGTCCATGAGCGAAGTGGTCCCTAAGCTTGTTAATCACGACATGACGGGAGAAGTTACCGGGTACCGGTACCCGGCCAAACCAAAGTGGTTGTGTTTAGAAAGCTCGGTTGCACAGTTCAGCTAGGTTCTATGTTCTCTCTGCCGGAATAAGCTCTCAGCCACACATCTCAACTGCAAATAACACTTGCACAGTTCAGCTACACAGGCTTTGTCGTTCGAAATACAATTCTTTAAAAACATAACTGATGACCCTACTTCTAACTTTAAACTTCGTCATATGCCACGCAAAGTCCCTCGTCATCATTATTCGAAACCATGGATGGACAAGGCAGCGTCTATTTCAGCCCTGAGCCGGGTCTCATCTTCTGTAACCAGGATGTCAGCCCGATGTCATCTGAGCTAGACATGGCCTGTTCTTATCCACTCTTGCATCCGTAAGTATGACAGATAAATCTGACCTGCATGCATACAGAAAGACTAACAACCCTTGCAGAGGCTTTACAAGTCCTTCTATATGCACATTCTGGAATTACATCGGGAATTATGCTGAACCTGGACTACTGCCCCCTTATTATAACACGATCACAACCCCGGATTCAACAATATATTCGTCGAATCTATACAATTCTCCAATGCCGATGCATTCAAGTGTTAACCCCGACTTCACCCTCAGGCCCGAGAACAGTCTAAATGTTGGCTCTGGTGTCGGTTCTGGGATTTACGTGGACGACCCTCAATGTAACGCAGGGTCCTTTCAGCCCTGTACAACACATACGCCCCGCCTATCAGACACAAATTCCATCTCAAGAACCTGGAATCCAGACAGTACCTCTGTCCAATATGAAAGCTGGCTGTCATCCTCTACTATTGGCAATGAAACAGCTGATATCAGAATAAACAAGGATGCTGAACCGGCTGAACATATCTCATCCTCTCAGTCTGATGCTAATCAGTCTTCAAAGTCTCAGCACGACATGATAAGTGAGTCCTTCTCACTCTAGGCAGCAGTGCTCTTACTGACCTTTACTAGCCGATGCAAGTCCAAGTCCTCCCCTCATATTCAATAAAATTGAAAATGTCTTTCGTTATCCATGCAACAGAGAAGGCTGCAATAAGACGTTTGCACGCAAGGAGCATGCCATGCGACACTACAGAACGTAAGTCAACTAAAGAATATATGATAGGCCTAATGGCTGAGAGATGTATAGGAAACATGAGAAAAGTAAAGAACGCCTGGCTTGTGAATTTTGTGGTAAGAACACTTTTGATCGATCAGATAATCTAAACGCCCATCGCAAGTTACATGCCAGATCAAGACCGAGGAGAAGCAATGCAGTGCATTTTGTCCCTGATGCTGTTTCAGCAATGCAGATAAATCGCAAGAAGGGGAGACCACGACTTAATGTATAATAAAAAGGGGTTTACCTAGAGAGAGTAATAGAAGGATTATATTTAATATATTCTTTATAAAGTCCTATATTTCTGGTCTTTTATAGGTCCCGGTTTACTTTATATTGATATGCTTTTCTATTGTTACTTACTTAGATTGTGATAATTGACAAGTCTGGGGGGCGCAATGTTTGCCTGACGTAAAGGCAGCGCTTGATTTTCAAGTTTTATCCTAATGCTAACCTTTTAAGGCAAGGTTGTACAGCTCAGCCATTATGAGTAAGTAGTCTAGTGGCTCAGGGTGGAAATCAATAATAGCAATAATGCAGTTTTACCCCTTACTTTGATCTGAGTACGCTAAATAGCCTAGACCCATATCCGGAAAGGCAGACCTCGTAAAGCAACGCTTTTTAAGTCAAGTTGGGCCTGTGGATCAACGTACGGTAAGTTCGGACTTTGTAACATCGTATGATTCTGAGCGCAGGCTTCAGTCATCTGTCTCTTTACAGATCTCGTAGCATTCCCCCTAGCTTAGTATCCACGATACTCGAAGCTAAACCTGCAAATACTGCCGATTCAAAAGCTCAAGCTCAATGCAATCGGATAGGAGGCCTTGTCAGTCCCAAACGTGTGACACACGTGATGTGGGCATCAGCTGTCAGGTCTATCAACCCCAATAACACTCTTGTGAAGTCTCCCAAAGCCTCTCAGACAACCCTGATGTCGTCGATTAGTTCGTAGATGTCGAGAATGGCAGTGGTGTGTATTATGAGCTCTTGGGTCTGGGACACGTATGTGAAGTTGGAGGGAATAAATGATGGCTTGAGTGCTTGCTCAGATCACTGACTCCAGCCACGAGGTGACTCATGTTTACTGTTGGACTATGAACAAATATGAAGCTGGGGATGTTTTGAGAAGCATCTACTTTGACATGGCGCCTCTTAGATTGAAGGCATCCCTTTCTAGAATTTTTGTGCCCCAGTCGGTTTGCGGCGCATTGTGCAGGTCCACAACGCTCGGGTCGGGAACGACAAAAAGCCACCAGAGCTCGTACATATAACCGAGGAGCTAGGGCCACTCCGGGAATCGCTCTCGCATTCACGACATAATTACGCGGACTGTCGTTTCCTGAGACTAGGCCAGAAACAACTAAGGAAGCCCCGATACCTACTAGAGTTAAGTGAATCTTATTAAAAGAAGCTAATAATAGAGATAAGATAAGACTGGTTATTATTTTATTTTACAGAAGGTAGTATTATATTACTTAGAAAATATAAAGCTAAGTTTTATTTATTTATCTTTTTTAAGTTATTAAGATAGATTTAACCTTTATAAATAAGATCCTCCCTACTAAAATAAGCTAATAGTAAGGTTAACTGCCTGAAACTCGCGGTTAGAGTTAGCATTAGTCAGCTCTCTGTATTTATTAACGCAATTCATTTACTCCATATATAACTCACTGTCTAATTATCTTTATATTACTAAATCTCTAACGCCTTTTATATTTAGAATTAAAAGCCTCTCGCCCTCTATTTAACTCCTTAAGTTTACAATTGCTCAGACAGCTAGATACGAGCCCCTATCATTATGTTGAGTGACTTTCCGAACGAGATCCAATGTCAGATCATCCGTCTTCTCGACCCCATTGGCCTCATTTCGCTCAGCCAATCCAGCAGACATTTTAAACGTCTTATCAACCCGCAAAAGAGACACTTAGTCGAGCGTCTCCTTCAAATCGAGTTGCTGACTGAGCACGGCGGTCCAACTCTCACCTTTCGGTCAAGGGACAGTAGATTAGAGCCCAGTTGGCAAGATGAGGCTTGGGAATCAATGCGTTGGGCTTGCACCGATTGCCTTCGTCTTCTTCCCCACAAATGCTTTGACAGTCAGTCCCTACTACGGCTGGGCTACCGGAAGCCTCACCCGAGCTCTGATGCTGCTCGCATGATTACTACCTGGGAGCATCGCCCCAACTGGCGGCCGCAGCATCGATTGTTGCGCGGCTCCGAGGCATATCGTTTCGACAAGAGCAGGCGCGCGCTTTACTTTTTCGCGGTGACAAAGGGCGTCATGTGTGATGTCGACGGGGATCCGGCGGAACACTTGGACAATCTAGACGTCACTGTTTTGGTCGGGTTTGAGAAACTGTTTGAGAAAGAGTTTCGCGATATGGACGATGAAGAACAACTGGAGCTGTTTGATGGAATTGCACTGTCAATTGAAAACGACTACTGTGGCAATAAAAGGTATCGTCGGGCCTGCAATGAGTGTCGATTCCGCAAAGGCGTCTTCACTTGTCATCGGTCCACGGGCTTTCGTGGTAGTACGAAATTTCCCGCCGTCCCGTGTCGACGAGCCTCCTTCGAGAAAGATCTGGATCGTCATTTTCCAGGATTTTTGGGTGCACTGAGAAGCAAGGAACCATCCGCCCGAAAAGCTAACGCCAGGGAATATCTGTATCCAATGTATATGGCTCGGTGCACCAGATGCGAGGGCTGGCAAGAGATTCGGTCTTTTCGTATAGAAGGGCTCCTTCATGGTGGATGGAGGCACAGTCTGCACGGGGAAGTAGAGATGTTTGGCCGAGATTGGGACGTGATGTGCTGCAACAGGTGCTTCGTTGACACCAAAGGCCGAGATGAACTCGCTGGGCATTTGAAGAAATGGATCATGAGACTCCTTGACAAGAGACTGAGCGTCATTTCATCAGGGCTGTGCCAAGACTTCAACTCCCACCACTACACGCCGGTCCGTCATCTTCCAGAAGCTGAGGCTAGGGAGTGGAGAGTCCTCCTAGAGCAAACACCGTGGTTTAACTCAGGTGACAACTTGAGCTTATTGCGTATAGATCTCAACCTTATCGAAACGCGTCGCAAACAATGGAGAGATCTATTGGACCGGGCGAAAGTGAGTGATGTTGAGAACTCGCTACCTAAGGTTCTTGATGACCTTTACGACTAATGGGTCTGGCATTCAGAGGCCGTCGAAAGTGAATGGAAGTGGTTGGTGGGCTGTAAGGACGAGATTGAAGAGAATCCTGACCTTTTGGTTGATTGGGCTCTTGAGAGGGGTGGGGCTGCATTTAAGTAGTCTCGCGAGGCTGTATATGTGGAATATCTCGATTTGTTAGTACAATCTCAGCTTCTGGCCAGATTGTCTCAAGGGCGTTGGTGGATTCACCAATTTGATCATAGCTTCGTCCCTCACACAGTTCTGTCGGCACCCAATCGGAGGACGGTGGATGCAATATTGCTTTCTGCATGACGCAGCTGAGCAGATGGCAAGTAGTGTCTTTCGGTCCGGGCTTCAGTATTGTCCCAGTGAGCCTCACTGAGTGAGGTTCAGACATGGACTGCAAGGCTCCGAAAAAACAGCAAGGAAAGCCTCAGAGAACAGGTTCTTTTTAAGTTTATTCTACTTGATTGGCAGAAGTGCAGGCACATAACAGAGTGATATAACATTTACAAGAGTAATACGCAAACCCAATACCACTAGACCAAATCATGAACTATGATACCCCTTTGCTACTACGGCCGAGGGAAGTCTGCAAGTTTCAGCCCTGTGATCTCTTTCTCAGCTGCCACTAGCAAGGGTTCAATAAGGTCCTTTAGGCGGCAGTTATGCCTAACGATAGTTCCAGGCTGCTCTGGGTTCTCTGTCGTGGAGGAAGTGGTCCCAGCATTAGAGCCAGATAAACCTTTAGTTCCGGGTTGAGCAGATACTTGAGGGCTTTTGGTGGTCTGAGACACAGTAGGTGTACCGAAGAGACTGCCCGAAGAGGGAGAGGGGCGACCAAAGTTGAACGAAGATTGAGTATTGGTGTTTTGAGGAGTACTACTACTACCAAAAAGACTACTGGAAGGCCGAGAGAGCCCACCGGCGGTAGTAGTCTGCTGAGAAGCCAATGCAGAAGGAGTATTGGTTCCAGCTGTTGCAGGCTTTGGTTGACCCTGGACAAGACCAGATGGATATCCAATAAGACCTCCGGACACGAGGTTCGCAGATGTAGGATCAAGGTTCCATCTGCCAGCATAGTTGAGGAGAGGTGCTTGACTTTGCGGTCCGAAATAGGCTGGCGACTGCACATTGGCTAGTGATGCGAGTACAGCGTCGAGGGACAACTTGGGGAATGGCGATGACGGGCGGGGGTATACTCCAGACTTTTTCATTCCTTGCAGTAGACTTCCCAGTAGCATGGCTCGGCATGCTTCATTGCAACCTACCTTGTCTGCAAGGATTTTGGTCTGAAGGTTGTCTAGTCCATCGACAAGACGCTGCAAGATTTCGATTCTTGTGCTTTCGATTTTATCTGAATCGTCAGTTGAGTCATTGATCTGCACTAGCTGACATACCAGAAACATCTGCTCTGATTGGGAGATCATAAGTCGATACGACATCGATGTTGTGCCTGATAGCCATTTTTGTGTATGTCTGGAACAGCGATGAGTGCTCAAAGACAAAGGATGCGAGTATCACTTGAGCCAATGGTTTGTCCTTCAACTGTCCGGGCTGAAGCCAGTCAACAGTCCATCCAAAGAGCCAGTTTGTGCTGAAAAAGGCCACAGCCTCATGGCACTCTAGATCGTCGACGATCGTCGCAATGTCGCTTAACAGATCCAGCTTGACACTGCGGGGAACATTGCGTGTTTTGCCATGGATGATCTTCAAAACGAGCTCAAATGCTTCGGGGTCAAAGATTCCTTCAAATTTCCAGTGATAGAGGCCGTCTGGCTCAACTGCAGCCTCTTTGAATTGACTTGAGAAGAGTTTTGCTGCCCGACGACAGGCAAGGGTTAGATGCTTCTTGGAACAAAGGTAGTGCTTCTCAGCGGGAGGGTCTGGGGTCTCAGTTTGGGTAGAAGCAGGCTTTACTGGAAGAATGAGGAGAGTATCACCCTCGGGGTCGATCTCAATGCGCGTGTTCGACATGTTCATTGATGATTGTGTTGTGAGTGTAGCGTGAAGATTGGTTGAAGCTGAGTTTCAGCTACTGGTCCCACTTCAGGTCGCCAATCTAAGGTCGACCCGCCAACAGATAAGAAGATGTATCCACTCTAGATAAGCCAAATCAGTCAGGGTCTTATTCTGTGATAAGATCGAAAATTTTGATAAGATCGGGAATTTGAAAGAGGCTTCAAGGGTTAACACCAATAAAGAAATAGGGGCAATATACTCGTTACCCTCACTATTGTCTAATATCTTACTTTAGGCCGAAAAGCTATATTGCCTGAAAAATGGGGCCAATTCAATTACTATTATTTCATCCATCGTAAGCTACATGTTGGTATACTGAACAGTCGTAGTACGTGTCTGCAGTATCCCGTCCTCACTATCATTATCTCCGGTTGGGTTGTTCTCCAAAGACTCATCCGACCGTCCGCTATAGATATTGACATCCGTCTTACCCATACCTTCAGGCCTCAAGCTTACTCTGTTGAAGTGAGTATCATGCTCCAGCTCCACGAGCGTATCGAACTTTCGGCGTGGTCCATTTGAACCACCAAAGGTATGGAGGCCAAAGTTGGCACTTCCACTTTGCTCTTCACTGCCTTTTCGAGTGCTCTTGTCGCCGAGAACTCGAGGGGCGACGTTCTTGAGAAAGACACGAAGCGTTGGGAGGGAGCCGCACATGATGAGAAGGTTGGCTTCAATGATACTGTCTGTGTCAGATGGGTTATATGAGAGAGAGACGAGGACTTACACCCAGAGACATCCTTCTGCCAAGGACCAACTCTGGTCGGGATTCGACAAGCTTGGCAGAAGAAGAACCAGTCGGACAATCGATGTGATGAGAGTAATAGAACCGATAGCGAATAGTCCGACAAGACCAAGCTTTTGTCGCGTAGACATTTGTAGACCAATGACAGTCGGAATGGGTAATACCAGCAACATCACATCAGTGATGCAACCAAACGCGGCCTGGGTGATGTAAATGGGAGGGCGATTGATGCAAGTAGCCCCAACCGACATCCTCACATCCCATCCTGCAGCAATAGGCTTGCATGCAAACAGAACACTGAACCAGATACCAACGAGACTAGCACTGCAGAGGAAGCCGGTGAAATAGACCGAGTATTGGTACCATAGAGATGGCGAGAGGCGGTAATAAAAGAAGCAGAGCGTAAGCTTCGAAAGGATTGTCGTCGGAATGTACGTCAGTGTTGTACACATGACGAGTAGGTTTGCTTGGGTGTTGCTGTCGATTGGCATCTCCCATGCATGGACGCCGAGTAGTTTGCGACTGTATGCATTGAGAAGACATGATTGAGCCGCGATAGAGAGGACCTAAATGGTTAGTGAATGTCATTGAAGCAGGTCGGCTCTCGTACCCAAGCGAAAAGAATTAAATCTGTAATCATTAGCCAAGTCCATCCAAGTGAAAGGACAACTTACAATCGTCAATCAAGAACTTTCGCAAAATCACTGCATTCGTATACATCCGCTGTCCCAAAAACGCCGTCGCTATCGCAAACTCCAGTCCGAAAATCCAATACGCATTCCTTACCATCGACGCATCAGTTAATGGGTTCTCAAAGTCAACTCTGTACCCCGATGGAGGTGCCACCGCAACCTCGACACCATTGACGACAGGAAACGACATTGTAACAGTTGATCGAGAGTTTAATCCCCGCGTAGCGCAAACTCAGAACGACATGACGGGATGAAATGGAAATAATGAGACGCAAAATCGTTAGGTGTCAACTTGGGCATCAAGTCGTGCAAATCTTTCAAGTCACATCGTCTACTGATATACAGCTGAACGTGATTTGATGATCACTACGCAAAGGGGCATATTCCCTACAAAATTCATGTGAGAGAAAAGAGACGACAGAGAATTAACTGGGGTTGAACCTTAATTATTGGAGAAACGTCAGGCGAGATTAGAGGGAAGAAATAAAACGTCAAACTTGACGGGCCGTCCGGGTAGAGAGAATTAGTTATGCCGGCCTTCCATAACAAGCCTAGACTTGTGGGAAAAAGACAGGTTTTTGCTGGTCTGTTCTCACGGTAATTCCGCGCTGTAACGGGCTGTGAACAAGGGCCATGACTCGAGATCAAGAGATCGTCATGAATCCCCGCCTTTTACGGTTGACTACGAATTGTCAGCCCCAACTGCCGATGTAACGCTCGGATAATATCCCCTGAGGGTTGCAGAATGCATGTGCCACTGATTGAGGGAACAACGGGACCCCTGAGAACCTTGGTCTCGAGTTCACCGAGTCTTTGGGTCGTATTATTTAGAGTCTCGTTAATCCACTGTCAACGCAGATTTTGAGCTAGCCTTTAGGGCCGGAGGCATGACATCGATTGAGCTTAAGCTTGATTTAGCACTGACATCTCGTCAATCTAGAGCCATGGGAATTGAACGATTGAGTCGTTTCGCGGTCCATGACTGTTGCGTATCACAATTGGCGATCAGATAACCTGTACCAACAGACTCCGTCTCCTCCATCGCTATTCTTACTGTCTGACGCTGCCCTGCCGTCTTGACCTTGCACCTCGTCTGCTCACCTATGAAAGAACCATGTTAATCCCGGGGTCATGACCGAAAACGATCAAGATCATCTATGCAGGATCAAACCAACATGCATCATCGAGTAATGCCATGAATGCCTTACCAAATCCAACCTCCAGCCCATCTGACGAACCAATCGCATCCCTATTGCCCCCCAGCATCCCACTCCGTCTGCGTGATTTTACCCCCAAGAACAAGGGTCCACGAACCCGCCAGTTCCTCAGCCGCTTCTGCACAAGACGATCTTGCCCATCAACAAAAAGTACCCAAGTTCCCGCACAGACTTGTCCTCTCAGATCTTCTCTCCCCCTCTCAAGGTGACATCCCATCGTCCATCCCGTTTCATCGCAATCATGAAGACGAGTGCCTCAGTCTTGGCTTGGGCATCAGCGCTCCTCGGTGCCTCACCCGCCGTAGCCATGGAGACTTGCGTAAGCCTATTTCTGTCGCAAAAAAAGCAATGTCACTGACCTTTCGCGTTTCAGTGTGCCTCACTTGAAGCAAAGGGTCTGAAGCACGTTTACTACCCCGATAGTAACGGCTACAAGACCCGCACTGAGTCGTACTTTTCCGTCTCGTCGCAGCTAGAGCCTTATTGCATCGTTCAGCCCGAAAGTGCCAAGGATGTATCTACGATTATCAAGACCTTGACATCTGATAAAAAGTGTAATTTCGCTATTCGAAGCGGTGGACACACCGTTTGGGCGGCGAATAACAGTGAGTTTGATGCTCGCTTGATTGAGTTTGTCTAATTGCGTGCAGTTAACGATGGTGTCACTATTGACATGGGTGAGTTGTCTGTGCGATTGGTTCAGCGTGAAACAACTAACATGCATAGGATTGATGAACAAGACTACGTATGTCAAGAATACGAAGGTCGCTCAGATCCAGGCTGGTTCTATTTGGCGAGATGTTTACGGTGCTCTTGAACCATATGGTGCTACTGCTGCAGGTGGTCGCACTTCGACTGTCGGTGTCGCTGGCTTCTTGACTGGCGGTGGCAATACCTTTTATACTGCCCGTCGGGGTTTTGGCTGTGACCAGGTTGTCAACTTTGAGGTTGTTCTCGGCGATGGGTAAGTACACGCACACCATAACGACGTCTACTAATGTTTCATTAGACGCATCGTCAATGCTAACAAGGACAACAACGCCGATCTATGGAAGGCCCTCAAGGGCGGCTCAGCCAACTTCGGTATCGTCACCCGCTTCGACGTCCAGGCCTTCGACGCTCCTCTCCTCTGGGGTGGCCTGGTCACCTACTCGGCCGAAGAAACAACCGATGCGCACGTCCAAGCCTACAAAGACTGGACCGATAATATCGTCAACTATCAGGATGGATCAGTCATTCCTTTCTGGAGTTATACTCCTCAGAATGGAAAGATTGGCATCACAGTGTCGTACGAGGATACCACTGGTGCTGTCGCTCCCAAGGCCTTGGACGAGTTCTGGAAGATTCCGTATGAGACGTCCAACCTGCGCAAGGATACTCATCGCAACATGACCATTGAGCTTGAGCTTGTTGCAGGATACCGGTAAGTCAATGCCACTTGGGTCTACCATCGATACTAATGTTGCTAGAAACGTCTGGTTCGCTATCACCTTCAAGAACAAGCTCGGCTTGTACAAGAAGGCTCTGGAGCTGCACAAGCAATTCGTCAGCGACTGGAAGGCCCAGTCCCCTGATGGTGACTTTATCTGCCACGCCATCTTCCAAGCCATCCCCACCATCTTCTCCAAGCACTCCCTCGAGCGCGGCGGCAACGTTGTCGGCCTTGACCGCGAGAAGGATAACGCTGTCATGTTCCAGGTTCAGTTGATGATCAACGGCGTCGAGCAGGAGAAGATTGCTCGTGAGCGTATGGTTCGCTTCCGTAAGACGATGAAGCAGTACAGTATCGACCAGGGCGCTGCTGTCGATTGGGAGTATCTCAACTACGCCGACTTTACCCAGGATCCTCTTTCCACTTATGGACCCAAGAATGTCGAGTTCATTCGCAAGGTTGCCAAGAAGTACGATCCTAAGGGAGTATTCCAGACTAGACTGCCTGGTGGATTCAAGATCTCCAAGGTTGCGTAAAGCCTAGCATAGTCTTCAATAAGAATGAATATAGATACAGATATCATATACGCGTTACCCGTCTCTATTGTAAGCCGCATAATTACTGTACCGGCGGTATGCGCCCCGCGTCAGCTCGCGTAACTCTCGTGACAGGGGTCCCGCCACTAATACGCGCAATCCAGGGTAAGGCAATACTTTACAGACAATTACACACTATGCTGAGTCTAAGATAAGAGTTATATAAGTTCAAAGGTAGTAAGTGTTATTATTTATCTATATAAATTACATTCCCAGTTCCTTTAAGCTTTTGTTCGCTCTTAGTGATGAAGTTTATATATTAACTCATGCTCTCAATAGACCTTATTACATTATAATGTAATCAGCAGAATAGGATAAAAGTTTAAACTGAACTGCCTAATCGTCCCTCTAACTTAATAGATCTATGCACTGTATATAACTTAGATACTTTATAATTGCCTGTATAACATTTAGTAAGTATTTTTAACATTATCTAGAGTTCTATTCCCGCGGTCAACTGTTTCGTTACCTTCGTCATCACTTCTGGAACTGGTCTATGATTGGCCCTGATGAACATGGATGGCATTTCTGATTGGTGTTATCGCACAGGCAAATCCACTTCCTAAACAGGTCAAAAGGGCGAGCTGCTGACCTGAGATTTCTTGGTCTGACGATGATCACTCGCATCCATGAGTAAAAGGTCCTGCATTCGGGAACCGCGGACAGCTCGGTCTTGCCAAGAGACTTCCCGCGGTCACCGTTCTCACTGCATCCACGGAAACCTCGCGGATTCTTCCCGATGCAGAATGGAGTCAATGGACAAGATGATATGTCTAAGTATATATAGACAGCGCCGGAATTTTTCAACAAGATCAGTTCAACAGGAACAAACATACTATTAAAATGATTCCCTCTCCCTTTGTTGACGTGATTGTCGTTGGCGCCGGTCTCAGTGGCCTCCAAGCAGCTGTAGACCTCGACAAAGCCGGCCTCTCATACATGGTCCTCGAAGCTAATGATCGGGTTGGCGGCAAAACTCTCTCTGTCCCGGCATCTCCGAAAAGCGACGGACTGGTTGATCTGGGTGCAGCCTGGATAAATGATAGCAACCAGAAAGAGATGCACGCCTTGGCCCAGGAATTCGGCTTCGACCTTATCGTCCAGCGCACTGAAGGACTGTCACTCGATCAGTCGAATGGAACGACGCATGCCATTCCTTATGGGCAGTTGGGAGATGTAAGTTTATTGCAGTCTTGATGTACTTGGCTGACTTTGAAGTTTACGGACGAACAACTCGCTGAGATTCTCGCAATCATGACGAGACTGCAAGAATACGTTGATCGATCCAATCTTGAATATCCTCACCTCGGACCCGATTCTGGGAGGCTTTATTCCATGACCGCCTTGGAGTTTGCTAGTAAAGAGTTTGGCGAAGGCATTGCCGAGGTTCTTGTAACGATAATGGCCCGGGATCTTCTTGGTGTCGAAGCGGACCAAGTCAGTGCCTTGTTTCTCATCAACTACCTCAAGAGCGGAACTGGTCTTGCAAACATATCTTCGGATAGGAAGGATGGCGGCCAATACTTGCGTAATCGCCAGGGTTAGTTCTTGCATCTCATACAAGACTGAGCTAACAGACCAGGTAATGAGATGTTTGCAATCAAACTAGCTGCGAAACTCGACAAGAAGAACATCAAGCTAAACTCGCCTGTCGTCAAGATCATCCAAGATAGGAAAGGCTGTACAGTCAGGACGAAGAACGGTCACAAATACCACTCCAAGAAAGCAATCCTTTCAGTTCCGACATCTCTTTATCCCAGGATCGACTTCGAGCCTCATCTTCCGCCAGCAAAACAAGAGCTGGCTCACTCTACTGAACTTGGCTACTACTCAAAGTCCATCTTGATCTTTGATAAGCCCTGGGTGGCATAACGCCAATCTCTCTGGTGTACTGACATCCATGGATGGTCCTATCTCATTTACACGGGATACCTGTGTTCCTGAGGACAAGCAGTACAGCATTACTTGCTTCCATGTCGGTCATCCCGGACGAAAGTGGTCTCAGCTGTCTGAACAGGAACGCAGGGACACAGTGATGAAGCAGTTCAACGACGCTTTTGGTACAGTTGTCGAAAAAGTCCCTGAACCTATCAACATAATTGAGAAGGACTGGCTCAAGGATCCTTGGTTCCTTGGTGGACCTAGCCCAGTGATGAAGCCTGGACTGCTGACTGGTGCTGGGAAGTCTATTCGTAATCCTTTCAAGAATATTCACTTTGTTGGGACGGAGACCTCTATTGTTTAGAAGGGGTACATGGAAGGGGCTATTAGACCTGGTATCCGCGGTGCTTGTGAGGTTATTGAAGCACTTGACTGATTGGCTTATTGTGAGTGTCGATGAGAACTGTTGGGCGGAAGACAACATAGATTGCAGCCAGAGCTATTGTATAGGCTTTGCTAGGGATAATGCTTCTCTTTACCTGTTCAATTCACCTTTCTCAAGTTAAACCTTCGTAAAATTCTTCAGTAGCATTATATCTACTGGCCAATTTCTCTAGCTTATTTCTCTACCTACAAGTTCTGCATATCGTGGTGGCTAGCGTGCATCAGTGCTAATAGAGGTTTCACACTTAATGTTGGGTGAAAGTCCTCAACTTAGGCTGATACTCTTAGCAAAATTTTAAAATTTTAGCTAAAGTAAAGAAAAGTAAAGAAAAGCCCTATAGAGGAGTTCCAATGTTGTTTCCGATATCGATTGTCAGCTCATTGCCTGGACTGTGCACTACATCTCCCCTTACACCTTGTCCGTTCTTAGCAAGAACGAAACTAACAGATGGAGAATCGCCCTGAGGAAGTACTGAAACAGTGATAGGAACTTGGGACAAGTTAGCTAATTGGATACAAGCCCGGCAGGGTTTCCGTGCTCACTGTAGTGCTGGTTCAGATTCAAGACTGTCATCCAGTTGTCTCTATCCCGGACCGTAACAGGGGGTAAATCTTCGTACGGACAGTCGATGGAGTAGTCGGCTTCTTCGCCGGATTGATTGATAATATTGAGGATGTATAGGTTTGACATGCTGGTGGGCTTATCGAGGATGCATAATAGGTACAGTAAAGTGGCAAACTTGAAGTTGAAAGTCTGAAGGAACATCGAGGATATGAAGGGGAGTTTGGGTGCCTTATATGTCCCAACTTTGACAGAACTATTGAATCTAGCTGCAATGTGACAATATTGTCTTAAAAAGGCGATACAGCCGCTTTCTGATCTGGTATAGTATAGCGCTAAGACTGTCCACAGTCGTTCAGCCCGCCACTATTAAAAACACTAATGTACTGCAGACATTAGAAGTTGAGTCTAGAACGCACAACACCGTATGCTTTGGCACCTAGCTATAGGGGTGACTGCCGCCTATAAGGTTAAGCTTTAGGCTGCCTAAAGGTAGCTGATAAGGAACCTCTTACTGCCCCGCACTGCAAGATCCCCACTTCTTACTGGTTCATGGCGTGTGAAAAAAGGTTGTAATTGGCTATACTGTACAGAGTAGACCCCTTAACTACATACCCTCGGTATCGGATGTCCTCTTTTTCCAGGTGTCGTTTCCAAAATCATCTCCACCTCATTCTTCTCTCAAGGCTATACTATACCCGACTTCTATCTTTCCCTGATTTACCGTACAACTTTATATCAAGGTTCTCTCGCGATGGCTTCCAGCATAGAGAAACTGGCCTGCGAAAGCTGTATTCGCGGCCACCGCGTCGCTAAATGTCAGCATACTGGTGAGTACTATGTGCCCCAGAACTCTCAAAGACACAAACTCATGATAACACGATGTACAGACCGCCCGCTCCTCAGAGTCAGTCGAAAAGGACGCCCGGTCTCTCAGTGCAATCACTGTAGGTCCTTGCGCAACTCCCGATCTGTTCACACGACGTGCAAATGCGCATCGGCATCCCATCAGGCCATGCTGAAGCAATTTGAACAAGGTATGCTCCCTTCTGGCTATCTCATCAGAGCTGATACTGACTGTGTTTCGTACTCAGAGCGATGCCGCTGCGATGAGGGTGAAGTTTGCGCATGTGCACACAAGACAGGTCGCAGAAATAAGAAGGGCATCGAGTCGCCACCTTCAACAGACAAAAGCTTAACACCGTCAGCTGCCTTGTCACCTTCCGATTCTGTGGAAAGGACTACAGAGACTTCCCCGACACCATCTCGTTCATGCTGCGCGTCCAGTTCAACCCCTCACGATACTACCCAATCCATCAACCCAATTTCGATTCCAAACCCTAGTATACCGGGTTCTTGGAACTCTGGGGATGTGCTTGAACCGTGGAACCCCTCAGTACTGGATTCTTTGCCAGAAACCTTCTTACTGAGTACCCAAAGTTTAACAGAAACATCGGATCCAGCCCTAAACCTTGGCCTGAACCCTATGGCGATATCTACTTTTGACGATCCATTCTCAACAATGGGGCCATTTGATGCGGGCGGTCTTTTCGACGACATCGATATCAGCCAAATACATTTCCCAGATGAGTGGGTCGCTGGGGATTTAATGATGAATGAATCTCACGATCCGGAAACGAAGCCCAACCAACTTTAACGCTGCGGAATTGGAACTCTCCTTGGCTTAACCAGTAGCGGACAAGGGATGGATTTATGATCGATGAATCGATATTTTGGTGGCTACACAGCGCAACTCGACAGGTACCAGATTGTTGGCGAAACATGACGTAGAAATGGCTGCATCCGATGGAGATCGGACGCTGAGAGATATAATTGCTTCTGATGACGAGACGAGCCCGCTGCATTGGGTTCCTTATGTCCACTTCGGCGTGTGATTTCTTCTGCTTGAGATGCTGATAGTCAATGTTGAAATCTGGTATTAATTGCTTCAATGAATTGTATGCTACTGCTGCTGATCACACCAGCCATCCGGATTATATGTAGCCAAATTCTGGAACCCAGACTGTTCCCTCTGAAGTGCACTCAGCTTCTCCTTCAGATACTCCCTCTGATTCTGATGAATCCTATCAAAACTCAATAAAAACGTTACGAGGAACAAAAAGTCCTCAACTCTCGCTTCAGCATCTTGTTCTTCGCCTGGTCCAATTGGAAGCGCCAACACGTCAGCTACAGTACTCGTAATCTCGAACAGCTTCTGCAGAATCCCAGATCCATGTAGTCCAATACTCTCAACTCTCTCTAACCGAAGGACCACATTGCGTAGTTGAGTCGATAATCGTTGTGCGGGGAAATGCATCGAAAAGCCCTCATGAGAGTTCTGCGGTACCGCTGATTGTAAAAGACCTTGAGATAACGCAAGCTGCCAGACGAGAATTCTCATCCATAAACGAGTGATGAACAGATCAACGTGTTGAAGCTCCGTTAAACCCCAACCACTCGACACCAGCGCATTATCAGTTTCTGCAGCATCAAACTCGTCCTGGTCAAGTTGAGCTTGTTTATGCTCAATCCATGCAGCAGTCATTTCCGGAGCCGACGCTTGTGGATCTTGTTGAGCTCTCCAGTGAGCCAAAAAGGTATCATCCAAGACGTGGAATAGCTCAATCAGCCGATTGAAGCCTTGGTTGACGTGGGGAGGAAGTTCGTGGTCTGTTGTCAGGACGCTCAGACTGAGCGGGGGGAGAATAGCAGGATGACCAGCTACTATTGTGAGAAAACGTTCGTGGATGGAAATTTCGCAGTATAGACGCTGTCGGGTGGCCAATTCATGGTCGGTTAGTGAGGCATCCTTGTATCTGTCAAGGTCCAGCATCTGAATCATTGCAATGGCTTCTCGAAGAATAACAAAACTGCGGTCGAATCGCTTAAACGCCATGAGACAAATCTCCAGGAATACGCATGTTACGATGCGTTTGACTGTCACTGGTAGTCTCCCGAGAATACCAACTCCCATCTCGGATTGTCTATGCGCTTTGAAACTCAGATTCATGAGCTCGGTGATTCTCACAGGTGCTTCGCCTTCCGAATCCCAAGAAGTTTGTGTAAGGTTGATAGTGACAGCAGCGTATGCGTATACAAGCGCCGCATCCTCAAAGCTTTGGTCCATCGCCTCAATTGCAGCCACAATCTCCGAAGGGAGAATGATTGGATTGACGGGAAAAACAACGCGTTCATAGTCGAGCAACAGATTGAGAAAAAAGTCTGAGGAATACGCCGACCCAATACTCGTCGGTATCGCATTATAAGCGACGGGCGAGGGATCATCAGTCTGTGGAGAAGCCGAATTGGACCTTGCATCGTCAGGTCTCGTCCCCTCTCGAATCTGCGCTACCAATCGCCCTCGCACGGTAGGTCTTCGCTTGGAGGTTGCAGCGGAGTAGACGCATGCCAGGTTAAGGTGGCCACATTGCGAACAGGGGACTGAGCCGCTACATTTGACCTTGCGAACGCGACATGGATCGCAGGCTTTTGAGATTCTTCCGGTCATTGTTTGTTGGTTGAGGAATGAAGTGATCGAGACGAGATGCGGAGTCGAGAGGCACGAGATTTATCACGCTAATGAAGTCTGTTGATAACCCCACATCGCCACATTCAGACGAGCTGAGTCTAGAGCCAAGCCTCAACTGGAGATTTACTGGGGTAGTTCCGGCATTTGACACGTCGCAATATGGTAGAGGCATGTATGTTGAACAATTCATCTTGTTGTACTAACTAATTACCGCTATGACGCTTATTCCATAATAAGCATTGACAATCACGTTTTAAACTATCTAAGAAGCACTGCTGTTCACCTTCTCAATGTACACAGCACTAGCCTTTTCCTTGGTCTGAAACTCGGCATCAAGACGCTCAATCTCAGTAGTCTTGAACTGGCGAGCAGGAACTCCACGCTCGAACAAAACATCGAGCTCACCATAGGTTCGGCCCTTGGGCTCAGGAAGACGGAAATATGTCCAGACAGCACAGAGGAAACAGGTTCCGGCCCAGAAGAAACCAGCCTTGGCACCCCAGTTCCAAGCAGAAGGGTTCAACATGCGAGGAGTAATGATGTTGGTCATAATTCCGACAATGTTATATGTGTTTCGGGCGAGGACAACGGTCTTGGTTCGGAGACGGGTGGAGGACAACTCGGCGACGAGGGAGTAGCAGACGGGGCCGACGGTCGAATCGTAGGTAAAGGTGTAGATGAGAAGAAGGGATCCGATTGTCCATTGGGCAGCTACGTTGTCACGGCCAGCAAAGGCGACACAGCCAATGGCCAAGAGGAAGACGCACATGGCTAGCTGTCCATAGAGGTAGAGGGTTCGGCGACCGAACCAGCCCATGAGGAACCAGGAAAAGACAGTACCAACAGCTCCGATGGCATACTGACCAAGGGACATGGAGAAGCTGTTCTCAACACCCATGCCGGCCTGTTGGTAGAAGTAGGTAGAGTATCCCATAAAGGTAGAACCGCAAAGAGTCTGGATCATCCAGGTGACACAGACGATCTCAGTTCGTCGAAGGCTGACACCCTTGAAGAGGTCAAAGTATGAGGTACCAGACTGAGCTTCCTTTTCCATTTCGTTGGTGTGGACCATCATGGAAATCGTCTCATCAAGCTTGAAGTCGATATTGCTGTTGCGGACGGTGAGGCGCTCCAGGGATCTCTTGGCCTCTTCAATGCGACCACGGCGAACGAGCCACCAGGGGGACTCGGGAGCGAGGTAGATTCCAATGATGAGAGGAACAGGCCACATCCACTGGAGAGCAAAGGGGATCTTGTAACCCCACTCATCAGTGCGAGAAACCATGGCCCGGAGAACACCGGAGGCGATGAACTGGCCGAGAACCCAGCAGAGGTTGACATAAGTGGTGAGGTAAGCTCGGAGGTGGGTAGGGCAGACTTCAGAGGCGTAGGTCGTAGTGAGAGTCTGGAAAACACCCCAGGGGACACCAATAAGTATCTCTCCAATGAGAAGCTGGACCAGAGTCTCAGAGAAGAAGATGATGAAGATGAAACCGATGCAGCCAATAAGCGCACCGATCAGTGTCTTGCGGTAACCGAAGCGATCAGCAATGATACCGTTGAGGAAGAGACCGAGAATTTGACCGCAGAGAGTTCCGTTGGAGAGACCAGATTGCCAAGCAGCTGTCAGTTGATAGGTGCCGTCAGGCTGCTCAACACCAAACTTCTTCTGGAAAGGAGGATAGGCAAAGAGGTTTCCGAGAAGGACGACATCGAATCCCTCCATGATGATACAAAGGGAGAGGAAGATGGACCAGAGACAAGCTTTCTTGTAGAGCTTGAAGGACTGCATCAAGCCCATCTTGTGCTCGGCCTCAGTAGCAGCAGCGGCTTCATGAGCGACGTTCGCGTCGACTGGCACCGCGACAGGGGCGATGCCATTGTCAACCTTGGTATCATAAGACATGGTGAGAAGGTTGAGTAGTAGACTGTAGAAGATGAGATGAGGGTGATGATCTGGATGTGAATCAGTGAGCGACACGCAACATCTTATACTTGGAGATGATTCAAGGAGTTGAAGCTGTCGAGAAGCGAAAATTAAAGGAAAAACAGGATCGTAGCACAAGGTTTGGACCAGCTGTTAGCGCAAAGGGGAGTTCTTTCGCGGGGATGGCCGTGATAGGACCGGTGCTAGGCCAGAGTGGTCTAGAATTAAGCGTAAATGAAGCCATGTCGGTCCGGGCGTCAAGCCACATTTGGAGGTTATTTCTCTGGGGGAGACTCTGGAGATCGTTAGCAGTGGAGGAGTCTCTCCGTTGTGTCTCCTCACCTCCCCCATGGGGAGACAATCATGTGAATCTGGGGTTTGCTCATCGGGCCGAGCATTGGCCAGTGAAACACCAAAAGTGGCGGAGATCAGCAGATGCTCGTGAACCATTGAGAAATGGGGATGAGGGATTAGACTTTGGTGTTCTCGTCGGTCCGGTTAAGAGCCAATCAATGCTCAGTCAGCTCGTCGGTCCGAGGTTGAACCAATGGTGTTGGAGGGGAGACTCCGTCGACTTTGAGGCAAGGATGGCTTGGGTTGCACGCGGAAATATCTCGTCGGTCCGACCGAGTGCTGCGGGGGAATTACCATTGTGATCTGGGGAAGATGAGCGGGTGAATTACCATCAGACGATATTTAAATCTACTTGGATCATTCTCTTCTTTGCATGAAGCAGGCTCTCAAGTAAATTATTCTTCGTTTATTGCATCTTCACAATGACTGTCAGCAGACGTTCAAAGCAATGGTGGAAGCAGGCCATCATCTACCAAATCTACCCTGCATCGTTCTGCGACTCCAACGGCGATGGCATGGGTGATCTCCAAGGCATCATATCCAAGCTGGACTACATCGCCAGCCTAGGCGTTGATGTCATCTGGGTATGTCCCATGTACGACAGCCCGCAAGTCGACATGGGCTATGATATCTCCAATTACGAAGATGTCTATGCTCCATACGGTACTCTCCAGGATATGGAGGAGCTGATCCGCAAGACACACGAAAAGGGCATGAAGATTATGCTCGATCTTGTGATTAACCATACTTCTGACAAACACGCTTGGTTTGAAGAGTCAAGACTCAGCAAAGATAGCCCCAAGCGCGATTGGTACATTTGGAGACCTGCCAAGTACTCCCCAGATGGTCAACGTCTACCCCCAAATAACTGGCGCTCCAATTTCGGTGGCGGTAGTGTTTGGGAGTGGGATGAGACAACGGGCGAGTATTACCTCCACCTCTTTGCCAAAGAACAACCCGATCTCAATTGGGAGAACCCAGAAACGCGTCGGGCCATTTATGCTTCGTCAATGGAGTTTTGGCTTGACAGAGGCGTCGATGGCTTCAGAGTCGACACCGTCAACATGTACTCCAAGCTCCAAGACTTTCCCGACGCGCCGATCACCGACCCGAAAGCGAAATACCAACCTGCTGGACTTCTCTACTGCAACGGACCCCGAATGCACGAGTTTCTCGGCGAGATGAATGAGATACTCGAGCGATATGGTGCTATTACAGTTGGAGAACTTCCTCATACACCGGATCTGGAAAAGGTCCTGAGATATGTTAGCGCGAAGGAGAAGCAGCTCAATATGGTATTCCAGTTTGACGTCGTGGATATTGGTTTTGGGAAGACGCACAAGTACGAGACGACACCGAAGAATTATACACTGCCTCAGCTGAAAGATGCTTTTGGTAGAACGCAGAGTCTGATCCAGGGGACTGATGCTTGGACGACTGTGTTTATGGAGAACCATGATCAAGCACGCTCCGTATCACGGTTCACAAACGATAGCCCAGAATACCGAGTCGCGGGTGCCAAGCTCCTTGCTTTGCTGCAGTCTTGTCTAAGCGGTACGCAATATGTCTACCAAGGACAAGAAATCGGATCCGTCAATGCACCAAAGGAGAGCTACGCATTAGAGAACTACGTCGACATCGAGAGCTACCAGTTCCTCGATATAGTCAAGGAGCGATCAAACGATGAACAAGAGATCGACAAGGCCTTCAATGCTCTTCAACACCTGGCCCGAGATCACGCTCGTATCCCCATCTGCTGGAGTGACGCCAAGCACGGGGGTTTCTCCGAAGCAGCAGGCCAAGACGCCAAGGAACCATGGATGCAAGCCCATCCTCTATCACACGAGATCAACGTCGCATCTCAGCTAAATGATCCAAACAGCGTGCTTTCATTCTGGAAGAAAGCACTGCATTTCCGAAAAGAGTTTTCTGATCTGATGGTTTATGGAGATTATAAGCTTCTTAGACGAGAAGATCCAGATGTTTATGCTTTTGTTAAGGAGTCGCAGGTTGATGGTTCCAAGGCTGCTGTTGTTTTGAACTTTAGTACTGAGGAGAAGACGTTGAGTCCTCTGACGGGTGAAGAGATTGGTGTTAGTGGACAGGAAGTCAAGTTGGTGCCTATTATGTCGACGCATTCTGGAAAAGAGCAGGCTGGTGTCTTGTCGCCGTTTGAGGGGCGGGTATACTTGGTTACTTAGTTAAGCAAAGACATAAAGAATAAAGAGGGTTTGCAAGTTACTATTAGGGTTTGCCACTGCGGTCTGTTCGTTCTTATTAAACACAAGGTTATCTTTATGTAGCCAGCAAATCGGATGTTTTCGCTGCTATGAAGCTCTCTCCTTCAATTCATCACTGCACTAAATATTCAGTTGATGCGAAATGCGAATATTGTAAATCACAAAGGCTAATCATTTCTCCGCTCTCATATTTCCGCAGCATTATTTCGGCCTCTTTCTGAAGCAACAAATGACGCAAACTAACGACCAACAGCTAAGGAAACCTCTCAACGCGAGACTCAGGCGTGTACGCCCTTGTTTCCTTCCCGTTTTAGTTGAAGAGGGCTGTAACATACCCATGAGCCAACAACAAAACCACCTGCACCAACGGATATCATTCCTTATACGAAATAGCTCCGGAAGGTCAGGAAATATGACACGCGTTGATGTCGTGCGTGTATATAGGAGACGAACTCCTGAGATTGTTCCCTGTGTCGCGTTCCCATCTTTTGCTGACAGACACAATATCTGAAACCCGGCTACTCACAAAACAAACTTTCCAACAATCCCAGATGTCTTTGAACAACAACCCGTCTTCAAACTCATTTCAGAATATGGGCCATAGCACTATGTCTTCTGACGCGGTTGAGACAACCACTGATTACGATAAGCGCCGTACTCAGCACCAAGACAGTGGTTCGGTGTCGTCTGATTCTTCTGGCTCGCAAGACGCAAGTCCATCCGAAGGAACGGCTAATGCTACCCCTCGAAGTTCATCAACTACTGACGGAGCTAAGCCTGGTGATTCTCGAATGGTTGTTGATGATCCGTTCGATAATGAGAAACGACAAATTCTTTTCAATGCCATCGATAGGCTTCAAGCTTGTGGCTCCCACAAGTACCTAGCCATCCCACAGGTATGTCTAGACTCTTATGCCATTTTGGCGAGTTTCAAGCTGATAATGCCCAGCTCGTTGTCGCAGGGGAACAATCTTCTGGGAAATCGTCCCTGCTCAGAACATTGACTGACATTTCATTCCCCGTCATGGCTGGGATTGGTACACGCTTTCCGATTCGTGTCGTTTCGCGCCGAAGCCCTAGTTCACAGGGCAGTAGGGAAAGATTTCGTATTTCCCTAGAACGCGCACCACGAGATGTAAACGGCTTGCAACGAGCCAATGCTGCTGCAGATGAGTACCGTCTAGAGGGAGATACCTTGACCATGGACGTATTCGAGGCTGCGCTTAAGGATGTGAGTGATTGCCATTCGTCTGGGATATATAGAGCGCTGACCAGAATATTCAGCTCTCTGAGAATAAAATTGGCATCAGAAAAGGTCAAGGAGTGGGGGCTAAAAACTTTGTCCCAGACATTGTTAGAGTTGAACTTGAAGGGCCTAATAGATCTCCTTTCAACATTCTGGATCTCCCAGGACTCATCTCCTCAGAGTATGGTGTCAATGAACCAGAGCCTCTTGGGACACAGGAACTAGCCAAGGAATACATCTTGCGACCGGAAAAGACACAATCATGTACGTTTCTTACCCTCAAATGACATTGCCGAGATCAACCCATAGACTCATAGCAAGCTAGATGCACAATACCCGCAACTTCTGACCTGGGAAATCAACGGGCTTATCAGATTTGCAAGGAAAATATATTAGACAAGAGTAGACTGGTTGGCGTCTTCACGAAATGTGACAAAGCGGATCGCGAAGAAGCGGAGCGAGCTGTCAGTCGATTCTCGAACTCGGGCTGCATGGTGCTAACATTTGTCAGGTCATTTCAGCAAAAAGTGATATTGACAACGGAGACTCGATCTTTATGGATGGCATGTTTGTCGTCTGTAATAAGACATCAGAGTCCCGAGTCAATGAAGATGAATTCTTCAACCGCAAGCCTTGGTCTCAAATACACAGTGGACGGAGAGGAAGCAGGAAACTCAAAGATCATCTTGGGGAGATTCTTACTTGCGAAATTGAAAAGGCATTTCCAAAGCTTGAGAACGACATAAATTCAAGGCTCAAGGAGAAGCGCGCCAGGCTCAAAGACATGGGTGACCCTCGGCTCAATTACAGTCAGCAGCAGGAATATCTCAACCGCTTTGTACGCGAGTACTCCTCCAAGTGCGAAAAGGCTCTTAGACGACCAGGATTACTTGAGTCAGAGACCATGGACCTGAGACAAGAGCTGAATCACATCAACAGCCAGTTTGACAATGTCATGAGATGGGTCGGTGGGTTTTGGAGGTTTGAGGACGAGGGCGTGGACCCGCGGCCCGTTTGCGTAGAATACGGAACTTTCATCGACAACAAACAGGGGCAGTCGAAATCAGCACTACAAATCTTGTATCCGGTCCCTAAGCTGGAGGATTACACAGAGGCGCTGAAAAAGATCCCGGCATTTGAGGAGCATGAGGATGTCGAGCCTTTTGACAAGTTTGTGGATACGGTTACCAGCAAACTTCGCAGGTTCGGCGCATCCCAACCGCCTGGTGTAGTCAACTCGGATATTTATCCTGTCATCTATCGAGCTCAAGTATCCAAGTGGAGATATATCGCAGAAGAGCACTTGGACAGAGTCAAAGATGCATTGAAGTCAAGCTATGAGGAGATCCTGCGTTCTGTCTGCCCGGACTCTGGAGGCACCAGGATTTTGCATCATGAGCTCAAAGACCGTCTTCATTCAATGTTTTGTGAGACACTGAGAAGAGCCCAACAAGAACTGAACAAGTACTGCGAACAAGAAACCCAAAAGGAACTCCTTCAAACCACCAACAATGAGTTCAGGACTAAACTAGAATTTTGGCGAATGTTGAGATACGCCAGAGCTTTCTACCTTGGGGCCGGTGGCGAAGAGCCCCAAGATCTTATCTCAGGCCAGACTTTGGATATAATGTGGAGGAACATGAACTTTTAAAACCATGACAGAATGGTGCAAGATATACATGATGTTATCAAAGTATATTATGGGGTAAGGGCCAGACCTGGCTATAAACAAAGACCAGATTTGCTGATTCAATACAGATTTTCCTGGAGTCATTCATTAGCCATGTCACTCAAACCATAGTGGAAGGTTTTGTTATGGATAAGAATGGCCCTCTGAGCAAGATGACGACTGAATATGTTCTCAGCCTTCCAAAGCAGGAAGTCAGCGACATGACGAAAGAGGACAAAACCGCAGGTCAGCGGAGAGTGCAACTAAACAGGGAAATCAAAGGTCTTGAGAGTGATCAGGAGATTGCGAAAGAGGCAAGGGTTAAAGTGGAGGCATTGAAGCGTGATTAATATTGCTTAAATTCATTATTATTATAGTATCTATAGCTATTTGTTTACTTTCATTAAATGCAGAGTAAGCCTTGAGATTCACACTTTGCGTTATTGCTCCCAGGACTCAAATCTACCTCAAGACCAAGATTGTTCTTCGAGTCAGGTGTGGTGATTAGTCGCGCCCGTAAATATTTAACTAAACTAACCAAAGGCTCACGCCAGTACCATTGATCTCCTGCCAACCAATCTTATTGGCTATGGGCTACCCCAGTAACTCGCTCATCCATCTGCGCATCTAAAAAGCTCGGTAGCTGTTCCTCGGCAGGCGGCCTAATCCACGATGAATCTTGACGCAGCGGGATCCTATCTCCAGCCTCTAAAACAAGGTCTTGCGGTTCCGGCCTACCATCGCTCGGCTTCAAGATGATCAAATCAGATGTGCCCGCCGCCTTGAATCGTTCTCCTGCAATTTCGAATTGCACTGACCATTTTAATTGATGTGAGACACGGATGTTGTATATCTGGAGTGAGTGCGTGAACTCGGATTGTACAGATGTCCAGTGTTGAGGGTAGCCTGTCTTCTGACCGATGCGCAGGTTGATTATTTCCCCAATATCGATGGGTTGAGAATCTGCTGTAAATGGGATCCGTATTGCTTCGCCGTGCTGCTTGATGGCTTGATTGAGTCCGAGGTCGATCTCTGTGCTTTCTGGGACTTGTAAACCCGCGTGGCAAATAATCGTCGTAGTGGTGACAATAGAGACCCGCATCGACACTAGCTTGACGTCCTGTGCTACATCTCGAATAGCATCGCTAGTTTCCTCCCAGTTCGGCGCCACAAAGAGCCTGAACGGTATCGGCGTCGGGTTATCCATCTGAACGACCTTTGGCACTTCAGCAAATAGGTCAAACGCCAACGTAGGATCCTTCGAACTATGAAGAGACTGTTTGATCTTGTCTTTCCAAGACGCCTTCACATCTCTCATCCCAGGAATAAGTCGATGACTCGAAACTGCACGCTGGTAGTAATATCGTTTAAGCTGAAAGTCTGCAATCGGAGAATCTGGAGTGACACATGTGACCTTGAAAGGAAATGTGGCCTCCAGTACTTCTTCATGGCCTTGGACAGTCATTGTGATCTTCGCCTTGATCACATACTCAATAACTGCTGCCATGTTCTTTGTCCGAAGCATATATGATGGTGGCATATGATTCACGGGACCCAAAGGTGTAGAATCATTGACGTATTTCGGAAGCTGTACCGTAAACGGCCATTTATGTATGTGTTTCGAAGACTCGATATGTACAGGGCCCTGGAAGATGATCTTTGGACGATAGCAGAGGTCGAAAAGGCCTCGATATTCTTGAGAGTTGTTGCCGATGACTCCGATCGTTCTCCCTCGTCCAAACATGCAAATGCTCACAGATGCATCGGGACTTATCGTTTGAAACTGTCGAAAGACATGGCCGGTGATGATATCACCTGGAACGTACGTATCTTGGTCCAGGCCGATGCCCAGCAACGGGCCGGATCGGAGAGGTGTATGGATGTTCATGGTGCGATTAATCGGTGTTAGTGATTGAGGAGAGACGAAGCTAACGAGAAACTTTTGATCTACTGAGGTTTAGTGATAAACGCCTTCATTCATTATCAGTTAATGAAATGAGGCACGGTCGGCTGCCCCGTGAGGCGCAATGCTCAGACCAAGGCTGAATTGCTGGAGTTGTCCAATCGCAAGGGTGCATGGGACCCTCTTTTGGGGGCCAAAGTGATGAGAGTGACTCTTGGCTCGTGCCGAGCGATTTCCCTGGCGTAGCGAGTTTCAGACGCAAGCTTCGTCAAAGCCAGAGTACAGGGTATATCAGAACGAATTTCTTAAAGAATACGCAAGACCTCCTCACGACTCTCTTTTATACGTTTAGCTAGAGGGCTCACGAGATCATGCTCAGTAAATAAGAGTTTATCATTCTTTCCGCGGCGCAAATAGATCATCCCGACACGCTGTCCGAAGTCCGGGCTCACCGGAGACTGCTAACATCACTTAATACACGCGATGAGTTAGTTACAACTATATTAATCAAGCTACAACGATATAAAATGAAATGCCTTGAAAGTAATTTTGAAATTTTAATAATTATTATTACTAGCTTTTAAAGACATTAAATAATAATTTATTATCTTTACAATGTCAACACTGAAGAGCTAGTATTATTGGAGCGGACTCGCGATTTGATGATAGTCGGCAATAATTAATAATCATGATGATATCCACTTGGACTTACATAACTCTGCCGGTCGGAGCCGTACAAGTCGCGACAGGTGGGTCAGCAGGCTCTAGAATTGAAGCCGAAGCTCTGAATGATTACTGAATGGTGCATAAATCGTTGGGACAGGAAATTAAGTTGGGACAGAGACTGATAGAAGTTCGTTGAGATGAAGGCCCCGTCGAGATGGCGAGATGCGTTGAGAAACGATTGAAAAACCACTTCTAGACTTATCCAAGGCTCTCAACAACTGTCTCATAAAGCAAGCGAGACGAATCCGTGGAAGATAAAAACGCAGGTTCTTCCACTTACCAGACAGGCTCATCATTCACTTCTCATTCACCATCATCACTCAAAAACAACCTCAATCTTTCTTGCAACGCAATTCAACGTTCAAAATGCCTCTCTGGAACATCTATCACACCGAGGGCACCTTCGCCTCTCAAGAGACCCGAGACAAGCTCGCCCAAGACATCACCAAGATCTACACCTTTGGCGAAAACGGTCTTCCCGCCTTCTACGTCGTCGTCCAATTCATCCCCCTTCCCGCAGGTCATGTCTTCGTCGGCGGTGAAGCCAGAGATGAGAAGCCTTTTGTTCGACTGGTGATTCAGCACATGGCCGTTCACAGTCATGAGGGCGTTCATATGGACGACTTTCCTAAGCAGTTCAGCGATTACATCAACGCTACTATCAAGCCTTACATCGCTGATAAGGGATACGACTGGGAGGTCACCGTCACTGATACCCAGCGCGAATTTTGGAGGTTCAATGGAATTGCGCCGCCTCCTTGGAGGAGTGAGGCGGAGAGGGCCTGGGCTCGAGATGGTCGCCCTTCGGAGTGGGAAGAGAAATAAGGAGCGGTCTGATGTAGACGTGGGAGCTGGTGATACGATCAACTTAGTCTGTTCATAGTCCTTTGTCAATGGATGACTAACAATTCCATGACGAGCTGCAAAACGGCCCATCGGAGGAGACCAATCGCTGTAGTCCTAAATACAATCCAACACAAGTTGACTTACCGCAGACTTTGAGTTTCTAGTCAAGAGTGATTATAAATCCATGGTCTATTCCTGCCGTGTCCCGAAAGACCAACCAACGAACGAACAGTCCTGAAAAACAATTTCCGGTATAATCCCGTCAGTGATGTATTCCTCCGCACAATGCGGACTTTGGGGATTCAACATTTGGGCGTAGGGCCCCACTGATAGACCTATAACGTTTCAATAGAGTTTATTACCAATACTTTGGGGTATACACAAGCCAGCTAGTCTAGTCGTTATCTCCTCAAGGCCTCGGCTACTTTCTTCCCGAGACCCTTGTATTTATAATCACCATTGAAGATCACTACGTTTCGAAGCATTCAACGTTAGCCAAACTCCGCAGAAACATTGAGCAATAAGCGTTCCAGTTAATAGTTATATAGTCTTGGATATTATCTAATTTACAAATCGTCTTCTACCTAAATTCCAACAGCTAATCAAAATGTCGCTGCCAGAAACCTACCGATCTTTCAGACGCACTACAGGCGATCTTCCAAGGACCATTGAACTGTCTACTGAGAATGTACCTGCGGAGCTCGGACCTAACGATGTATTAATCAAGATTCATGCTGTGTCTCTCAACTTTCGAGATGTTGCTATGCTGAACGGCCGGTATCCGATGGAAGTAGAAGAGCGAGGCATTCCATGCTCGGACGCTGCCGCCGAGGTTGTCGCAATCGGATCGGCAGTCAGAGAGTTTTCTGCAGGAGATCACGTATCAGTTATATTTGACCTTAATAATATGACGGGGTACGAAGACGAGTCTCATTGTTCCCTTGGAGGAGACACCGCTGGTGTTCTCCGTGAATACGCTATTTACCAGGACAAGCATCTGGTACAGCTACCCAAGTACTTGCCGTGGGAAGAGGTAGGACACAGTGAGCTCAAGAGTCTGAGTTCCTGCTGACCCGTTTATCAAGGCTGCTACTATCACCTGCGCTGGTATCACGGCTTGGAACTCTCTCAATGGCCTGACTACGGTATCTAAGGCTCGCAGCGCCCTGCTGCAAGGTTCGTTCCCCGCCAATTCTTGATCTCGGATACTAAAGACTGAAACAGGTACTGGAGGCGTCAGCATGTTTGCTCTGCTAATCTGTGTTGCGGCGGGCATCCAACCAATCATTACATCTTCGTCCGACGAGAAGCTTGAAGCAATCAAGAAACTCGGCTCTGAAGTCCGTGGTATCAATTACAAAACTATCCAGGACCAAGCATCAGAAGTCACTCGCCTCACAGATGGCCGGGGCGTCGATTTCGTCATCAACAACACCGGCCCAGCGTCTATCCCCCAGGATATCAGCTTCTTGCGCCAACGAGGGGGCACTGTATCCTTGGTCGGCTTCTTAGATGGTATTGGCGGTGATTGGCAGCCTGCCGCTATCATGGCATTGATGGGAAAGTCTGCTCGAATCAAGTGAGTTGTTACCCTGAGGGTCCTTGTGAACGCGCGCTGACTGCTGATGTTTTAGGGGTATTGCCACTGGCTCTAAGGATGACTATTTGAGCCTGAACAAGTTCCTGGAAGAGAAGAAGGTTTCCCTTGCTCCGCTCGTGGATCGCATTTTCTCATTTGAAGAGTCACCAGCAGCTTTCGACTATCTCTACTCTGGCAAGCATGTAGGAAAGGTTGTGATCAAGATCTAGCCCGCGGTCGGTGTACCAATCTATGGGCCAAGTAGTAGTCATCTAAGGACCTTTGAAGATGGTTATCCCTCCGGGGGCTCCTGGCGGAGGGCCTGTTCTCGCTCCGCTCGTGCGGGCGACCTCTGAAGAATGATGATTGCTGCCTCAACATCTCAAATACGGATATTTGGACGAGCTCATGCCGTTCTACATAAGCAGACCACTTCACGTATGATTCGTCACAAGGATCTCCCGGTTTCTAGTGTCTAGATTCGATAGTCCTCAGTGATATACACGCATATCCCGGAAATCCCGTCGTTGACCCGAAGGAATCCAATCATGAAACAAGCGGCTAATATGCACTAATGAAACAAAGAAGAATTCTAGAATAAATCGCGCATAAGATCACGTTAAAGCCAGGATCTAAAACCGGGACGTGCATATGCCCCAACGCGAGCATTATCCATTTCGAGTTTTCATTACCCCTTGCCAAGTAAACTGATACGAGGATAATTGGTCTTATCGCTGGGACATATAGTGATTGAGGCCTTCTCCTATTCCTTGTTGAATGAGGAAGGTTACCGTCAACGATCTGCTGATTGATGTCAGTGCATCGGGGTGACTTACTCGTGTCTTTATCCGGATTGGTCTGACGTGTAGATCTTTGCCGGAGAGTGGTAAGCTGAAGCGCCGCGCAAGCTGTGACCAGAAAGACTAGCCGAAAGTATCCGTTATCAGCATGCGTGGAATTTCTAGAAGGAATTAAAGTGAGCGGAATGACATAACTCGGCATAGTGGCGTAGATCTACCGTGCGTATGCCGACAAACATCTAAAGCTGCATTTTCAGTAATTCTCTTGGTGATATTCACTGCCAAGTATGACAGTTCAAATCACGTCTGGGGAATATCCGCCTTCCCCATGGGGGCTGTTGAGAATTCTGGTTCTCATCACTAATGAAAACTCGAATCTCACGACTCCAGACTCGAGGGACCTGATTTCGCAAAGCATTTGCATTCGTCGACATTTGTCTGGTGATTAGAGGGGATCAGGGACCCGAAATGTGGGTTATTATGGAGATTTGACTCTGGTGATGGAGTTTGCCAAGGCGAGAATGGAGATACGTTAGTCATAGTATGATGAGCCCATAATATGCCAAGAATTGGTCAAAGTTTGCCTCGCGTTCGTCAGGTCTTCTTTAATAATCACTGTAAAAAGAATAGTGAAAGTTACGGTAAAAGACAAGACGAAAGATGGCCTAAAGGCTACGGATGTCCACCAGATATGGATTGTATCTCGACGTCGTGTTAACGTTGGCGGCTAAATGAGGCTCAAATTCTAGACGCGTCAGGACACGGCACTGACGTCAACCCCGGCGATACCGAGCGACAAGAAAAGCACAGACTTTACTACTTCGGTCTAATTTCCATCACTCAAGTCTTGTCCAGCGAAGGGCAGTGCACTCTCTGGTCAGAATCCGACTGGCGCGGACAACTTCCTCTGTGGATATCACATCAACGTCTCACTCAAAGTGACCGAGTCTGGCCGAACGAGCGAATTCATAGACCGATGTGGAAACGTTTCATAAACCCCCATGGGGCTTCCGTGCCTGGGGCGATATCCGCCGAGGAATGGAGTCTAATGCAGCCTTGATTTCAGCGGCGATACTAGGGACTCTTTACCCCAATCAAGAAACGGCTGCCATGACGTCTCAGCGTCTTTTGCCCAGCCCCTATCCTGTCGGACCATCGCTGCGCTATTTTATACATATCGTGAGGCGAGTGGTATAAAGCTAGGTCGAATTCCACTAGTATTTGCTTCTTCAGCTTCCAGCCTTTCACTCATCTACATCATACCTCGTCAATTGTCCAGGTGACAGTCATCATTCAATATCAACACAGCAAACATGGAGAAAGATAATGTCACCAAAACTGCTGGACAGTTTCATGATCCCAGCTCCGATAGTGATGGCCTCAAGCATGAGATCAGCTCTCAAGAGGGTCACGGCCATGACTTCCAGACTGTGCAAGAGTCTGCTGACAACACCAACATTTACTCCCAAGGCGGCAAGAACTTTCGAACACTGAAGCGGTGGGATACCATCTTTATTCTGTTCGCCAATCAGATCGGCCTTGGTATCCTGTCTCTGCCCTCGACCCTCAAGACCCTCGGCCTCGTTCCCGGTATCATCGCCCTCATTGGCATTGGTGTCATCTCCTGGTATACAGCCTATGAGTTGTTACAATACTACAGATTACACCCTCAGGTGCTCAACATCGTCGATATGACCCGCTTCGTCGGTGGGAGAACTCTGGAGAGTATTGCCGGGGCCATGATGATGATCCAGGTCATCTTCGTCGCAGCCTCAGCTATGGTCACCCTTTCCATTGCCCTCAACACAATCAGTAGCCACGCAGCTTGCACTGTTGTCTTCATCTTCATTTCTTGCGCAGCCTGCTACGTCTTTTGCATTCCTCGCACTACCAAGTTCGTGTCACACCTTGGTATCCCCAATGCTCTGAGCGTTTTGGCTGCGTGCATCCTCGTCATGGTTGTTCTTGGCGTTCAGGGTCCCAAAGGCGTCGATAACATGTCTGAGTGGAAGAGGGAGATTGTCATTGTTGGAAACCCCACTTTCCGAGATGGTCTTAATGCTTGCTTGAAGATTGTCTTTGCGTATGCTGCCAATCTGAGCTTTGTTGTAAGTGCATCACATACATGACCATAATCTTATACTAACTGGTGACAGGGCTACCTTGCTGAGATGACCAATCCTCTTGAAGACTTCAAGTTCTGTTTGACCGTTCTCGAATGCGGTTCCATGACCATGTATGTCGTTTTCGCCGTCATCTTCTACTGCCTCGGGGCGGAATATACAACATCTCCCATTTTGGGATCAACCTCGACGACCTTTGCAAAGGCCGCTTTCGGCATCGCCCTCCCTGCCATCTTCGCTACCGGCCTCGCTTACGGGCACATCGGATCCAAGTACATCTTTGTTAATGTCATGAGATGGACTGGTAACCTCAACGAAGTTACCTCCAACTCTGTCAAATCTTGGTCAACCTGGATCGCTTCCGTCACTGGCTTCTGGATCGTGGTCTTTATTCTGTCTAACGCTATTCCCGTCTTTGACTCGATCCTTTCAATCACCTCGGCGACAACAATCTCTTGGTTCACTTATGGTTTCAGTGCCGTCTTTTGGTTCCATATGAACCAGGGTCAATACTTCCGTGACTGGAAGAAGATCTCTTTGACAATTGTCAACACACTCCTTATCATCATGTCACTTTTCATGAACGCAGCTGGTCTGTGGGCATCCATCACTGAACTTCTCGACATCTTTAACTCTGATGGTGGCGTTCGTGGTGTCTTCTCTTGTGGAGACAATTCATAGGATGTTATTACCTCTTCTTGTACTATAGACCTTCTCAATTAGCGTTTTCTCAATTGCATGGCAATTTCATCGTTAATTCATTCGGTCTACCTGAAAAAGTCTGAATTAGCCGTGATGCAATGGAGGTATTGTTCGTGATGGGTTCGATCGGAGGAAATGGTAATTCCTCCTAGACTGACTTTTGTACCATGCTGTGTCGGCGATGCAAAGCAACGCGAAGTCAGCCTAGACTCAGTCTTTGTGTGTTGAATTGACCCCGGATACAGTCGTGATTCCGCCAACTTCCAGCACCTTCTAGGCCCGGAAGAACACGGGAATAACGCTGTTGTGTTACAGGCCATATGAAGTGCGGAAATATGCGGCTTGGCGCGAGCGATAACAAGCACAGGAGAGTTTGGCGTGCGCCCTTAATTGACATTAAACGTCGATAGCTAAAAATGCGCCTTCTGGGTGACATTTTGTGTTACCCGCCGAGGAAAAAGCTGAGGAAAAGGAAGTAGATATAAATGACTTAATTCCTTCAAATAATCATGACAATCAAGGCGTCGCAAAATAATACCATTATCCATCTCCATCTCTATCTTCACCCCAAATGACTCGCAACATGTCTTCCCCGCCTTTCACCATTCGCAGCCACCAACCCGGTGACATGGGTTACATAACCTATAGACATGGGGCAGTCTACGCCCAAGAATACGGCTTCAACTATCGCTTCGAATCTCTCATTTCGAGAATCACTGCCGAATTCCTCGATAATTTTAAGCCCGACCTAGAGGGCTGTTGGATTGCTGAAAAGGATGGATCATTCCTCGGCTGCATCATGTTGGTGCAAGACAAAAAGCCAAAAACTGCAAAGCTACGATTGCTATTGGTGGATCAAAACGCAAGAGGTCTTGGTGTAGGAACGGCCCTGATCCAGAAATGCATCGATTTCGCGAGAGAAGCGGGTTATGAGCACATTGATCTTTGGACTCAAAGTATTCTTGAGGGCGCCCGTCGACTATATAAAAGGGCAGGGTTCGAAATGATTGAGACACAGAATCACAACGATTGGGGCGTGGAGTTGACGGGGGAATTCTGGACGCTAACGCTATGAGGGCTGGGTGGGGAAGAGACGAAGCGTGATAGGGCGATCATTTGGAGCAGTCGCGCGGATAGAAGTTTGTACCATTCAATGAATTTGTTGAATGCATTCAGTCTACTGAACTTTTATGACCGGTTTTCCGTATTCCTGTTCCCAAAGGCCATATACCTCGCAGGATCTCACCCAAAATTGTTGGGAACGGAATTAATAGACGCAGACAACAGAACTCAAATAATTCCCAATAAAATGCCTGAGAAGGCTAGAGTAGGGATAAAGCAAGGCATACATCAACACAAAAGCCGCTCCGAATACTGTCCGGAGGGCGTGCCTTCCTCAATCACCTACACAAATGGGAAGCCCACGTTGCAGATAACCTTAAACACCGATGACCAATAGCAGAGACTGCGTCGTCCGAAAAGGGAAAATCTTGATAGCGAGGGACTCTGATGATGACAGTTTCGAGCGGAAAAGAACCCAGATCACTTCCTTGTCAGTATAACGACCATACCGCTGATCTCGGGCTGGTATCAACTTGGAGTCCT